TCCATGAATTTAAACTGTGTTGAACTGTGCCTTTCATACACTGAATCTGCAGTGTGTGTACAGGGAGTGCAATACTTTCAGATGTGTCTTGGCCACTGTGCATGTGACATGATGTCATCATTTCCCTTAAGAGATGTCTGAAGATTTTTTTATCTCAATATCTGTCAGCAAAAATTAGTTGCCAATCAGATTTGCTGACAAAATTGGTGAAAAATTTTTAAAGACATCAAGATTATGGAAAGAAGCTATAAATAATATACAAACACAAATGGAAAACATGTTATATAGATTTTCCTACTAATGTAAAAATTTGATGCTTGGCCAAATTACATCTTCAAATTCTACATTTGGTGGTGCAGTCATGGATAATACTTTATGCACATGGAGCATCTGGCACGGTACAGCTGTAATCTTAGGTCAGTTCTGTAATTTAGAGTTAAATAAACAATAATAGTAATAGGAGAATGCAGCAGTAATTACCAAAACACCGTTTTTTTCCCTGATTTCTAATGTAACTTGAAGGCTAGTTTAACTACTGGTCACTTGAAAGGTTACTCCAGATTCATAAGATCTTTGGCTGTCAAATTCATTAGCTAATCATTCCCATATTTATTTATTTTTACAAATCTGTTCTGTCAGAATACAGATAAAGTGATGTTTTATCTTCAATATAAAAATAGAAATCCTGTGAAAACTAGCTTCTTAAGCTTTTTTAGCTACTGTATAACTTAATATTTTAACTTAACTTTGAGTCATTGTGGAAATTTAAGCATGTCATGAGTTTATTTTTCTTTTTTCTAGTTAATGATATTAAGCTTCAGTGGAGCTCTTTAAAATGTTTTCTATCCTGCGCAACCTCTGTGCTCTCGAGTACTGCTGATACGGTACCCCAGCAGGAGAAAAGGGAGCCTCTCATAAATCCCTCCTTGATTGATAAGATTTCTAGTTCTAGAACTTTGCATTTTTGGTTGCTTGATAAGATTTCTGGTTCTAGAACTTTGCATTTTTGGTTGCTTTTAGGTACAGTTTCAGCAGAAACAAAACAGAAATCCAAGCTGTCAGGATGAATTCCTTCTGGCCAAGAAAAACAGCAAATAAAAGTGACAGAATCATAGAATGGTTTGGGTTGGAAGGGTCTTCAAAGATCATCTAGTTCCAGCTCCCTGCCATGGGCAGGGCTGCCAACACTAAATCAGTCATTAGATCCGGAGATCTCATCCAGCCTGGCCTTGGGCACCTCCAGGGATGGGGCACTGACAACTTCTCTGGGCAGCCCGTTGCACCTCATTATCGTCTTAGTGAAAAAATTCCCCCTAAAATCTTATGTAAATCTTTTAGTTTATAACCTTTCCCATTTTTCCTGTCACCATCTGCTCCTGTAAAATTTGGTTTCCCTTCTGCTCAAAAGTACTGGACTGTTCTGCACAAGTACTGGAATACTGCAGTAAAGTCTCCCTGGAGCTCCTCTTCCCCAGATTGAGCAAGCCCAATTCCATCGGCCTGTCTTTGCAGAAATGCTCCAGCACTCAGATCAGATCATCTTTATGGCCTCCTTTGGAGCTGCTCCAAATACTCCTTGTCTTTCTCTCTTTCTCGAGCTGGAGGACCCAGATCTGGAATCAGTACTCCAAATGGAGCCCCACAAGAGCCCTTTCCCTTTCAGATTATTATGCATAAAAACACATTTCTAAATGAAAACAATCTTGGTTGATATATATATATATATTTTTCCCCTAGGCTTGGTGCAGTTTCCATTCAGCTCAGCCATCTCTTCAGTGAGTTTTGGTGTCTTCCTCCCTCATCTTTATATCACAACTATATAGCATAGGAGAAAGAAGTTGCACTGTATGTAAAGCCCACACTTCATTCATTTTTTATTTTTACCTTCTTTTTTTAATTATTTTGTTCCCCTTCTCCTTTTTGTGTGTAGAAATATGCCTTCAGGCCCCGTTTTGTTGGTGAGTTTTAATTTCTGTAAGATTCCAGCAGAAATTAAAAGATTTTCCTGCCCAGCTGAGGCTCTCATTTTGCAAAACATCCAAGTGGATGCCAAAATTTCAGCAGAAGATTTGTTCCACTGACGTGGGTGCTTACGCACATTTCTGCATCAAGACTGAACAAGATCAGGTGCTACTGCTAAACAAAAACACCCACACCACCACCAAAGCTGTGCTGAGATGCCCCGAGAAGAATTGTTTTACTTGTTGCTACAACTGCTGGCAAAATGATTGACAAAAGTGTTTGTCATCTTTCTTGAGCAAGTTGAACAGTGACTAATGGTCCTCATGATAATCGCTGAAATACTGAAAAAATTTAGCTGTTAATTTGTCAGATCTGAGTATTCTTCTGAGTCACAAAGTAAATTCATTTATTTGAACACCAATTAATAAAACAGGGAGGATGGAAGAGAGAGTTAGGCTTGATAAAATACCTCATTAGTTTATTTATATAACTGTAAGTACTTTTTTCTGCTATTGTTTGCATTTATTATTTATATTTTGACTAACAAGTGATTTCTTACGTTGTATATACATAATAAGAACAACACTCACTTTGGAAAAGTTTTCTGTCTCTATTCCTTTATAAGCTATTCCTTTAGGGTATACTGCATAGATTTGAAGATCTTAAAGGTACTATACCCGTTTACACCTTTTGGGATTTACTGTTCGAGATCTCTATTCAGAAAAGTCAGCAGTCAGCTGAAGGCACCCTGCACTCTACAGACAATATTAACAGGCAGCTTAACAATGCTTCGTTAAACAGATGAGTTTCTTGCATGCTCCTTATGGATATATATGGCCAGCCCTCAAAATGACCTCAGCACACTGAGCTCTGCTATTTCTCAGAGCTGTGGGTCTATCTCATATCCCGCCAATTTCTGCTATTATGCATCCAAAATGTGTGTTCATGAGTGATGTTTGTGTAAATAAAAATGACCCAAGAGGCTCCTAGCTTGTCCTGTAAATATGGAATATCCAATCCGTGCAAGTAACTCCAGTTTCTTTAACTCTAGTGATTAAATTGCCCCTTAAAGGGCTGGAAGAGAAGTAGATCCTGTAATAACAGGGAGCCATTGTCTGAGCTACATATCTTAGACCCAATTAATGATGTGGCAAGTGCACCTTGCATTGTCAGATGCGTCTTTTCCTGCTGCCCAAGAGCTCTCTGAGATAATTGATTCTGGCACTTCTATTACTACCCAGAAACAGAAGGGCATATTTTTTTACAGTCACTCTGGCAGTGGTTTAAGAATGATGATTTTCCTTCGGGATATTGCTTACACTACCTATTTGTGCCTTCACAGAGGCTGTTATAGACTTGGCACTCATACTCAGCGATGAGCATAACATAAAAGTGATAGATTCACAATGCTTTTTTTGTTGCAGCTTCTTCCTTTCTGATATGTCTACCTGTGCTCTGTGTTTGGTCAGTGGAATGAAATTTAAATTAAAGAAAAACTTAATACTTCAAGATGTACAAATAAAAAGATTTTTTTTTAATCTCTAGTATATCTATAAATATATATAGACATGTATTTATATTTATACTTTTTTTTTTTCTTTTGTACTTGTAACTAACCATGGAAGAGAAGTTACTCTCCAGTCAGATACATTTCACAGAGAAATAAATACCATTACGTATGTGCATTCATGAGTGGTTTCTCAGAATATTTGTGGCATGCAGAGATAAAAAATACACACAAAACCTATACATTCAGTATTATCATTTTTGGTTGCTCAAATTTCTGCCTGTATACAGAAAAATGATTACGCTTTTAGAATTCAAGAAAAGTAGAATTGGAAGAAATGTACCTTCAGTGATTATATATAGGTAAGTGTACTGCATGTACTTCAATTTCCTTCCACTTCCTTAAGACACGGAAACTTATGAATATAAATTTTATCAGTGGAGTTTTCTGTGGAGTAGTGCAAAGAAGAAATAACAGCATTGTGTTTGAGCAAGGTAAATCTAAATCAAAAGTTATTTTTCAAAGCTGATAGGCCAAACATTCACAGAAGTCTATTAAATTATGCCTGAAATTCTGTACTCAGACAGTGAACCACATATATGTCCACAAAGACTCATTTATACTCAGTTTCTCCTATTAACTGTAGGCATGAGCTTATTTGACCATAAATAATTGAATCTGCATGAAATTTGCTACAGGAAAAATGGAACCTTGCTGGCAGATTTAGACCTTGCTCAGAGCTGCTGCATTGTGGCCCCATCTGAGTTTAGCACAGCCACCTCATATGACGCTTGTCTTTGCAGAGATTGCATTCACACATCTCTGCCCCTCCCTTCAGCTATAGGAACGAAGTCCCCCTGAGCCTCCCCTTCTCCAAGTTTAGCAACCCCACTTCTGTCATCCTCTCCTCTTAGTAAAAGGTGTTTCAGTCTCTTCATCATTTTGGTGCCTGTCATTGGATTTCTTTGTGTGTATCTGTTGCTCCTCATTGGGTATGGCAGAATTTTCAGCTGTTTTCTATCTGCAGAACTCCAGCAATCTTTTGTGTAAAGGGTGATAGAAATGTCATGGTCTGCATAAGGAACGGGAATGCCATGCGGCCTGGTGCATCTAGCATACTTGGTAAGTGAGCTTAGCTATTGCCAACTGTCTATTATTGCATTTTCACAGCCTAATTCTCTCAAACTCTTCTGCAGAAGGAACCTCCATAACATCATGAGATGTTGATAAGACAAGAAGGAATGAACTCAAGTTGCACCAGGGGAGGTTCAGGATAGATATTAGCAAAAATTTCTGCTCTGCAAGAGTAGTTGGTTACTGGAACAGGCTGCCCAAGGAGGTGATAGAGTCACCATTCCTGGAGCAGTTCAAGAAATGTGAAGATGTGGTATTTAGGGACATGGTTTTATATGCAATATTGATGGTAGGTGTGAAGTTGGACTAGATGATCTTAACGGTCTTTTCCAACCTTAATCATTCTGTTCTTCTATGTCTCCTCCAGTAACATTACTACTGCCAGGACTGGGAGTGAGACCACAGAGGAAGCAATGCATAGGGAGGAGGAGGAACACAGGTAGCAAGACAATGCTGTAACAACCTTCCTTATTTTCTGTTTTCCTCCCTCCCACCTTCCCTGAACTCTGACACCCATATAATCTAGTTATGTAGAGATCAAAGGAATCAAATCTCTGTTAAAAGCTAGGCATGGAAAAGTTACACATGCACAGCTACATTCTGTTAAAAAGAAAAAAAGTATTGAGGACATTTATGTCTGTTGATAATTAGAGATGTTTATGACATGCATTAACAATAACTCTCCACGTTGCCTTTTTGGAAACATGTGACTTCGTGTTAATGGCTTGAGTTTGCTAACAATTTACAGGCAGACACTTTCCATCCTAATATACCACTTACTCATTTGTTCTTCATAATTTTAATTTTATGTTATCCCTGCCTGAGCTCCAGAAATGACTTATTCCATCACCCACGCTGCTTCTCTTACTTAAAGATGTAAATGGGTCCCAATTGTACAAGATATTTAGCATATGCTTAAATTTAAGCATATGAATACTCCCACTGAGGTAAATGGGACTATGTACTTAGAGTGAAGCACATACTCACGTTGCTTGTTCAGTGCTAAAAAAAAATAATGTACTTGATTTCCTGGTTACTGCACAGCCCATTGTTAGCTTAAGACATTACTTTACCTTGTGGGTGACAGAGCACTGGAACGGGCTGCCCAGAGAGGTGGTGGGATCTCCTTCTGTGGAGATATTTAAGATCCATCTGGATGCCTATCTTTGTGATCTTTCGTTGGGAACTTGCTTTAGCATGGGGGCTGGACTCAATGATCTCAAGGCCCCTTCCAACCACTGCAATTCTGTAATTCTTTGATTCTGTGACTCTGTGACATTATTATCTTTTGTGACCTCGTGGCATATATTTTTGTAAATCCTCTCTTGAACAGTTATCTTGCAGAGATTAACCTTCCTTCTGCATTTTTGCTGATGTATCACGCTTGCTTCTTGGCATAATTGCAAGAGTTTTCTCTAATGTGCTCAAAGTGGAGATCCATTCCAGGAGAGCACAGATCTGCACCAAGAAACTGAAAGAGTGCAGCATTAGCTGGCAGTAAACTGCTGTCTTAAAGGTGTAATTTATGTTACAAGGAAGTTTTTACACAATGAAATGCAATCTATTCAAATCTGCCCATGTTTTGTGCTGTTTTTCACACTTTTCCTCGCCAGAGTATGCTTTGGATGGTGATTGTAATGAAAGTGAGATTGGTCCATGCATGTCTTATATAAATACATTTACACATTTACAGCTGAGGAAAATGCAGTCAGGCAACTACCATACTTATTTCAAGAAACTCAGCCCCAAGCTGCTTTCTAATTCCTGAGAGACTTAGTTTAGGAAACCTGACCCTGTTCAAAAACCAACAGAGAATGAGCTCGTCTATTACCCTTAACACTCATTATGTGAGGATCAAAGCATTTATACACCATCTTGTACAACCCTATAGTATGGAAAGATTTCCAAAGAAAATTGGTTATTCATTCACAGCTTTAAATGCAAAACATAATCTGAACATGTGAAAGACTATTTGTCTAACCCCACTGTCTCTTCCTTTATGCTGTTAATTTCTGTTCTGTTATATAGAAAGACAATAGGAGCTCTCTGTTCAATGATGTACTATATGCTATCATAATACATTGTTCTTAAACTGAAAACAATTAGAGCTATATATACTTTCAGTTTTTTACAACTTTTTACGTATGCTTCTAGAACATTATTTAAAAATAATCCTTACTATAATATTCAAAAACTCATGGTTGTTAATGTCACTGTTATTATTATTATATTTTTTAATAAAAGCAAATATTCAAAATCTCTAAGGAAAAGAAAATATGAATTTCACAATGTCCCAATTTATTAAAAATAAATTTTCACTGGGGAAAAAAAAAAGGAAAATAGCTCAGGTGTAATGTTAGCAGTAAAGTAGGAAGAGATATCAGGAAGCGTATTCATGTCTGAAAGAACCAGTTCTTGTTTTGCATCTACACATTATCTTTTAAACAAAAACATTTTAAACAGTTTTTCATAGTCTTTTGAATTGTTTTGGAAAGGCTTTTAAAAATGTAAAGAAAACAGCATTTTTCAGACTGCTCCACTGTTGACTCTAAATGGAAAACAAGGGAAAAAGGGATTCCATTTGATGAATGGAAAACTGAGTGGAGAAACACAGCATCACCCTCTACTGCTAAGGCAATTTTTTTGAATAATGGCCTTACACAGAATAATAGCTACCAATACCTTCTTGGGCAGAAAAAAAACACTCTACACTGAAACTAAAAGCAAATCTCACTTTTACTTAATTAATTGATAGTATTTTATTTTAACTATATACATATTGAAAAAAAATCTGAAAATTGTCTAATATTAACATGTTTAATATGAATGCAAATTTAAGTAGAAGACTATATGATGTATGAAAACATCACCACGTGAGGTGTCAACAGGACCAAACTTCAACAAAAAATTGTAAATGCAAGTGTCAATCATATTGCTTTTTAAAGTATATATAGTGATCATTCATTACAATAGATGATAGTAGTTATTCCTTTAGCATTTTTTTTTTTTTTTTCTGGAAACATTCTGATTAGCTGATCAAGAGTTCAGGATCTACAATTATTCTTTGAAATAGCTGTTTCTTTACAGCAAATGCATTCTGGGAAAATACCTCCTTAGGATTTAAGTGCTAGCTACAGATTACATTGAGAAAATGAAATGATGCATTTCCTTGACTACTTCATCTGCCATAAACAATCTTCTGATCTGTAGATAAAAACTATTAGCTTGGTTCATTTGATTTACAGAACTATTAGAAATGTTTCTGTTTTCAGCGGAAGGCCTTCTTGCAGCACAAGATCCTGCTTCACCTGACTGGCACAGATTAGAGGGAGCGAACAGTGATCCTAACATCCATATACTGACTTGAGGATGGCATGGTCAAATTCTACGGAGCTGATGGGTTCATGATCTCAACTCTTCATTCTCCCTTTCTTGGCAATTAAAATAATATTTTAGCAAAGTACATCTATTTTTACATGATAGACATTAATAATGAAGATGAAATATAGTGGAATAATGATTAGCAGCCTGCAGCTTGTTCACATAGCATAGGATTTCTATTGTTTCTCCTTAGAATAGAGATTTACAGTGTCTGATTTATCTGCAGATTGAGGCTTTCAGCTATGGCAAGCAGACCGAAATTGGCATGTGTATGACTTATTAAGACAAGATCTCTAAACTGGCTTTTATGTGTGCTTCTTAGAATCATAGAATGATTACGGTTGGAAAGGACCTCTAACATCATCTAGATCAACTGTCCACCTGCCACCAATATTGTTCACTAAATCACGTTCCCAATTACCACATTTATGCAGTACTTGACCATCAACAGGGATGGTGACCCTGCCTCAACCCTGGGCAGCTAGTTCCTATACCTCATTAGTCTTACAGAACACAAATTTTTCTTAATATCCAACTGAAGCTTCCTCGGCACAACTAGATGCCATTCACTCTTGTCCCCTTGCTGTTATCTGGGAAAAGCTGACACTCACCTTACCACAACCACCTCTCAGGCAGTTGTAGAGAGCAATGAGATCTCCCCTGAGCCTCCTGTTCTTCAGGCGAAATAATCCCAGTTCCCTCAACCCCTTCCCATAAGACTTGTACTCCAGACCCTTCACAGCTTCATGCTCTTCTCTGAACATATTCTAGGTCCTTAATGCCTTTCTCATAGTGAAGAGACCAAATGGAAACATAGCAAAGTGTAGCTCGCCAGTGCCATGAACAGAATGATCACCCCCCACTGTTGCTGGCTCTGCTATTTCTGATACATTTCTGACATTTGGTTGGATTCTCCTCATACAAATTTGACCACAGCTTTAAAATAAATAAAAGAAATAAGCATAAGCACCACCCATTGTAGCCATTACAATAAATTGTTCAGCTCTCAAAACTTATAGACAAAGACTCTTCTCAGTTTATGGATTCTCATTCCAATCCTGCATCACTAAATATGTTAGTGATAGATTTTTTGGCCCAGCTGAAAGCCACATTGAAGCTCTATCACAAGAGAAGTAACTGAACTCTAGTGATCATGGAATATGCAATCAAATAAATTCCACACGTATAGAATCTGTACTGAAAATATTTGTCTCCTCAGCTCCAGAAGTGATTTAATCCATGCTAAAATTTTGGAAAGCAGTGTGTAGCAAAAATCAGGATCTAAAAGCTAATGGAAAATGTCAGATTAACTTGTATGAGGGAAGAGAAGATTCTTGGTGTGAAAAAATGTGGTTTTCTAACACGTTGATTCTGTCTGCACATTTATAATTGCACTGCACATAGCATAAGTGATCAAATATTTATCAAAAGTGAATGTTAAAATTGCATGTGGAAACAAAGTGATAAACACTCATGGAGAAGTGCTTGTGGTTGAATAGAACTTGTGGTGCCTTTTTCTGTCAACTAAGAAAGTGAAACCCTGTGACTTTTAATAAATCTCTGCTAGGCATCTAGCTGGAGTTAATACAGAGAATACAGAATATTTGCTTTTGTATATAGGAAAGGGAAAAAAATTTAATTATATGTGAGTAACTTCATCTACTGGAGGATACTACTATATGACTGGAAAAAAAGTTAAATTTGTCAGATTAAATATTTATTGAGGCTTTTTTTTCTGCTTTTATTTTAAACCTGACCAAAGGTGATCATAACTGACTGTATACAGCTGGAACACAATGAAATGGCTTTTGTTAGATATCCAAAACTTATACAAACTTATTTAATATTTTATAGTCTCCGTACGACATTTCATGAGATCAGATTGACTGCTTTTGACAGTACCAAGAAAACCACAAGAATAAACACAAAGTGAACAAAAAATGCATTGAAGAAACCAGAAAGGGTTCTGGAAATAAAGATAGTGCAGCTTTCCAAGAGACTGATTTTGTTTGCATACATGAAAAAGAAGACAATTATTTAAATAAAGATGTTAACCAAAGTTAATGAGATTTCAGAGGACTCTACCTGGTCTTTCAGAATGATACCTGATCATTATTAGTTTTTTGTTTCTGTAACATGAAGCTGCAAAGCTCTAAGAAGAGATTCTTGTACTATCTTGCTGGCTAGACATCATGAAGAATTTCTCAGCGCATACCAATTAAATCTGATTTAGATGTGATCCAAAATACATGCTGGGGATTCTTAAGATTTAAAAAATCATCATATCTGTTTTATAAAAATATTTTGTTGGATGAGAAAATAACAGAAATGATGATGTGTGACTTGTTCTTTAGGAAGGAAGAACATTAGTATTCTACTAATGGATACAGTGTCACCAGAAAGTTCACCTTTCTTCATAATACTGTAATTAGTATTTTATATACTATAATTTTACTCTTGATGAGATAAGCGCTTCCTGAGGAAATTTCAATGTCTATATTGCTAGTGCTGGAAAAAAAAAAAATAAATTAAAATGACAAATTTTTATATCTATCTAATGGTTGTCGCAACTTCTGAAAGGCATGAATATAAAATATTTTAGGCACCTTAAAGATTTTAGTGACTTTACAGCACTGCAAACAGGCCATGCTCAGCACTGCTTAATTTTCCTCTGTTTTCCTTATTTTTTGTTTGATGAAACCATTCTTATGCCCAATTCAGCTTTGCAGAAAAAAAAGAAAAGAAAAAAGAAAAAAGGCTATTTTCTTTGCCCTACTCTGGAAGGCTGAGTGTCACTTTTGATCTGATCTAAAGAAATCTGAGAATATCACTCTGAGGTCTCTTTCATCAGCAGGTGCCAAATGAGCAGAAGGGAAATGTTACAGAAAACCTTTAAAAATCCAGGGTTCATGTTTGTGTAAGAAGTTGCATCCAGAGACAATGCGATATATTTCCTCTTATCTTACTGGTGTACAGGGACTTGTGTCTGGAAATCCCAGACATGCTAATTCTGTTCCTCAACCTCAGCTCATCGTGACTCGACTGCAGCCCCAAATATTTTTTGAAGACTTGATTTACTTTCATTTACTTTCATGCTTAGATGACCTGAATCAGTTGCTGTAAATTAAAAGGAAAAAAAAAAAAAAAGAAACTTCTAAATTTTTTATTATTTTTTTTTTTTTTGCACACATATTAGAGATTAGAAGCACATTATTACTACACATATGAAAAATTCCCTCTAGGCAGACGGAAGACATTCAAATTTCATAGGCTCCACTGCAGATCAATTCAAGTGCACCAAAGGGGAAATTATCACTCTTCAAATATTTCCAGTAGTCTGGACCTCTGTTTTAGCTTAATCAGGGAAAAACTAATGGGCTTTGTGTCTAAACCAGGTGGAGCTAGGTGCTTTCAGATAGATAATTAGAAAATTTGTCGTTGGTTCTGAGTCAAAACCTAAAGTTAACAGGTGTTCACCTACATGACTCAAAGGCATAATACATTCTTGTTTTGTCATAATGTCAAATCCACACATATTACAACACCATAGTGGTGAATTTCACACTTTCTCTCTTGCAAAACACTAAAATATACATAGAAATACAATCCAAACTCTCTTGATGGCCATATCTGCTGTGGATTTCAGTGAAAAAAATATGCTATTTTTTAATTGACTCTAGCTTTCATAGGCAAATGAGGGACACTGGCTGACAATGAACATCTGTAACGAGGTTTCAGTGAGAACAGCTCTTCTGTGCTGTTCCATGCTCTGGAAACAGGACTGTGCTTCCTCCACTGCTGAAAAAACTGATTTTTTTCCACTCAATGCTTTTCAGGGCTAAAGCTGGCCAACAGCATGGAGTAATGGGGGGATGACTTAGAAACTTAGAAAATGGTAATCCATGAAATTGGGCAAGTCTGCAAATTGTGCAAGGGGGTTCCTACAATGCTGATAGACCCCAAGCCCTTTGTCTCAAAAATCCAATTCTTAGTGTAACCAATTGAAGAATTTCAGTTGATCTTCTCTTTTACTCTGTTCACCCACAAAATATTACAGAATAATTCAGAAATTGAGTGCTACTTGAAAAAAACTTAAGTGTGAAATATCATGTGAAAACTTTAGTGATAAACTAAGGCTTATCACTGTCACCGTATCTTTATTTTCATTAATTACATATGGAAAATTAATGAAACATACATCAAGGACTATAAATGATGTCCCTTTACAGATCCAAATATTTTTTTAATGATAACAAGATAAGAGGCAGAAAGCAAAATGGAGATAGACATTTTCTTTTTACACATCAAACATCTCTAGAACTGTGTATCCTTTCATTGCTCAGGAAACATCTTCAAGAGCAGGAAATTAGTCATCATACTTGGCTAAAACTTGCCCATAGCTTTTGCCAAATATATTAATGGAGATTTGTGGCTATTTCAATTCTTTGAGAATTCATGAAATACTTGATGAATAGGTACATGAATAGGTATTTTAGAAGCATTTATTTTACTTTGAAATTTCAAAAAGCAATATTTATTTCAAAAGAAAACACACGAATTTTTAAAAATGATCAAAAATGGCCTCAAAGTATCCACAATGCACTGGTCAATCAGATATGAAATTACTGAGGTTTTCTTTGTTCATCAAAACAAATAAACAAATAACCATTGTCATGGTTCCATTCCCTGAATCTCAACGAAGAACACTACAACAGGATTCTCTGAAATAATTTCTTAATTTAAAAAAAAAAAAATAGTTGTTACTATTTCACTCAGTGCTCCTATATGATCAACTGTGTCATGGACTTCTATGCAGGAAATTTATGCTATTAAGACACATTATCTTGTCTATATAAAAATTCTAATATAGGCAAAGCATTTCTTATTCCCCTTCTAAAAGAATTAGAATTTTTCCAGATGTCAGAAAATGTCCAAATAAAAATCTCCTGTAAGAATGTGCTTATGTCTGCATGAGTACCTTCAATCCCAGTGTAATTCCCTTAACTGCCTAAATGCTCCAGCAACCCTCTGTAAAAATCTACTGCGTGCTAAACTCGAGTGATATTGATTGACTTCTTCAGAATGTACCAGTTGGATCCCACACTGGCAGGAAGTTGCCATTTAAGAACACTTTTGCTGGGCTGCGAATTGGAGCCAAGCTTGGAAAGATGAGAGCGTGGGGAGAAATTGATATTTAAAAGCCATTCCACCTTAATCACCTGTTTTTTGTACACTGGCTTAGTCCCACTTCAGAGGGGAGTTGGTGGGTGCTATTTAAAAGCACTTTTACACCCTGCTTGGGAGAAACATAAAAATAGCCATTGTATATCCATCTTTAAAAGGCAGACGGGTGGAGTGAAAGTGTTTTTAAACAGCATAATTTCACAGCAATTGAATCCATGCTTTACATCAACATTTCAGACTAAATCATTTTAGAAAATGTTGATGTAAAATATCTACTATATTTTTGACCTCTTCTGTATTTTAAAATAATTGGACAGAATTTATGTTTGAAATTTACTAAGGTAACACAGAATCATAGAATCTTTAAGGTTGGAAAAGAACACAAAGATCATCTATTCCAATCATCAACTCATTGCCATCACGCCTACTAAATCATGCCCCCAATTGCCAAATCTAAATATGTGATACCCAGGATCTGAGTATCCTGGGGTCATTGTTCGAAGATGAATACAATGACTTTGCTTTGGGAATGCCTCGATGCTTTGGACACCTTGACACTGACTAGGCAGGCCTGGTTTAAAATTATCAGTGCATTCATAGAGTCAATCGTTTAAGTTGGAAGAGACCCTGAAAGGTCATCCAGTATTTGTAATTTTTCTATTTTTTTTTCTATTGATGTAAACACACATGCAATTGTGACCACAGTGTGGATAGCTGCACATAAGTGTATGCTATGTAGAAATATATAGAAACATGCAATATCCCAGTTACACTGAAATAGCTTCCTATCACCACTGCATAACTCCTACTTTGCGTGAATATTGTTAGTATACATGATGTGCATAAATTTGTGCTGTTACTTTCATTAAAAAAAGAAAACAAAAACAATAAGATAGAAAAAAAAAGAAAAAATTAACTACAAAGACATAATTTTAGCAACTTCTTGACAAGCACTTAATGTCTTCCAGTCAAGCAAGAAAAGAAAGTATGTTAGTTGCTTTTAAAACTATTATTCCAATAAAAAGTAATTATAGTGATTAATTGCATAATGATTACAGTAATCACAGCCTATTCTTTGTTGATTAAGAAAGACAGAAGAGTCTCATAGAAAGCATTCTACTAAGTCTATCTCTGTTTATTTTAATTGCCCTCTACTAATTTTCTTATCAGAAGTCACAAATGGAGACAGTTCAAAAACAACCTTGTTAGTTGCTTTGCATTTGATCCACTGTCCACTGATAAGAATAAATTCACAAATGTGTTGAGTGCTATTCTGGAGGTAAGAATTTCTATTTCTTTGTCCCTTATTATTACCATTGTATAATTTCTGTTGTTATTACAGCAGGGTTTTGGGTTTGCATGTACTTTTAAATACATATAATATTTAACATAATACATTGAGAAGGTGTGAGCTCTCTGAAGAAGTAGATGGAAGTGGCAGTGGATGGTTGTGGTAGTGGATATTTTTTTGAGGGATTGGAAATTTTGGATGAATCTGCTGGAGAAAACATTCATGTTTCTATCAGTTCCAGTGGAGTTCT